CTCGCGACATGTATCCCAAGAAGCAGGGAGTTGTAGAAACTAAGTAGCCCCAAAAGCATGGCTTCGTGCCCTGGCGCTACTTGCGCTTGAAACCTGGCGCGCGCAACGAATCAACGATAATATTTATACCGGGCGCACGTGGGCCACTCCCAGTACTAGGGGTGTCTCACGTAATCTCGAGCGCCTCTGAGATCACAATCATCATGACAGATTGCGGGCAAAGCTTCTCATGCCCGTCTTCACCAGTCGCACGAAGGGCCTACTGGTGCTGCTGCAGCTACTTTGTCACGCAGTTGCTGCAACTCCCTGACTGCAACGACACTCGCGACATGTATCCCAAGAAGCAGGGAGTTGTAGAAACTAAGTAGCCCCAAAAGCATGGCTTCGTGCCCTGGCGCTACTTGCGCTTGAAACCTGGCGCGCGCAACGAATCAACGATAATATTTATACCGGGCGCACGTGGGCCACTCCCAGTACTAGGGGTGTCTCACGTAATCTCGAGCGCCTCTGAGATCACAATCATCATGACAGATTGCGGGCAAAGCTTCTCATGCCCGTCTTCACCAGTCGCACGAAGGGCCTACTGGTGCTGCTGCAGCTACTTTGTCACGCAGTTGCTGCAACTCCCTGACTGCAACGACACTCGCGACATGTATCCCAAGAAGCAGGGAGTTGTAGAAACTAAGTAGCCCCAAAAGCATGGTTTCGTGCCCTGGCGCTACTTGCGCTTGAAACCTGGCGCGCGCAACGAATCAACGATAATATTTATACCGGGCGCACGTGGGCCACTCCCAGTACTAGGGGTGTCTGACGTAATCTCGAGCGCCTCTGAGATCACAATCATCATGACAGATTGCGGGCAAAGCTTCTCATGCCCGTCTTCACCAGTCGCACGAAGGGCCTACTGGTGCTGCTGCAGCTACTTTGTCACGCAGTTGCTGCAACTCCCTGACTGCAACAACACTCGCGACATGTATCCCAAGAAGCAGGGAGCTGCAGAAACTAAGTAGCCCCAAAAGCATGGCTTCGTGCCCTGGCGCTGCTTGCGCTGGAACCTGGCGCGCGCAACGAATCAACGATAATATTTATACTGGGCGCACGTGGGCCACTCCCAGTACTAGGGGTGTTTGACGTAATCTCGAGCGCCTCTGAGATCACAATCATCATGACATATTGCGGGCAAAGCTTCTCATGCCCGTCTTCACCAGTCGCACGGAGGGCCTACTGATGCTGCTGCAGCTACTTTGTCACGCAGTTGCTGCAACTCCCTGACTGCAACGACACTCGCGACATGCATCCCAAGAAGCAGGGAGCTGCAGAAACTAAGTAGCCCCAAAAGCATGGCTTCGTGCCCTGGCGCTGCTTGCGCTGGAACCTGGCGCGCGCAACGATAATATTTATACTGGGCGCACGTGGGCCACTCCCAGTACTAGGGGTGTCTGATGCGAGCTAGATCTGCTCTGAGACTCAAGACAGATGGCATGCAACGCCAGAGGCAAGCGGGGGTTGTCTCGGAACCCCGAGAGAACAACGCCAGGAACCTGAACGAGCGAGGAAGAGAAGGAGGAGGAGCACGAGGCAGGTGCGTGAAGGGAGTTGGCGCCATCGCAATAAGTACAGGGGTCACACATCAGGAGGCGAGGGCGCAGTAGCAGGGGGCAGCCGATCTGCTCTCGAGGCAGGCGGCAGCAATGACAACAGACTCGACGCTAGACGAAATGTGCAGACCCCCCGTTCAAGCCGACTCTATACGCGCACCGGGCAGCACCTTCGTTGTGGTGGACCCACAAGGGGGTCCAGCCGAAAAGGGGTGGTGCAATGGATTTGGGGCAGCTGTATTGCAAATGCACTGCTCCGGGGCATTGCATTGCACTGTATTGCAAGCGATGCAATGCGCGCGGAAATGCAGAAAGACACCTGCGCCCGGAATGCATTGCACGCCCCAAGTGTACTGCAACCCCGCAGATCTATTGCACCACCCCCCTGTCGCTGGACCCCATTTTGGGTCAACCCGATGCGTGCACAACAAAAAAGCGCGATCAAGTATAGACATTTGATGCTCGCGTCTGGGCGCTCGCGACGGCCCGAACCGCGGGCTCCGGCTCGAGGAGCCCAGCGAGCCTGGCCAGCACCGTCTGGCTGCGCACGCCGCCCATGACCGCCAGCGCGCGGGCGTGGCTGCCATCGCAGGAGAAGAAGTTCCTGATCCTGGCGACGGCAAGCTCCAACTCCGCGTCGTCTGGCCAGCCGACCGCCTGCCTCGTCGAGCCCATACCTCCGACGGCCTCGAGGAACACAATCCCGAGGCTCCAGCAGTCCGCCGGCTTGGCGACGTACGACGCCTCCAGCACCATCTCCGGGGCGATGCACGGCAGATCCCCGCATAGCGTGGTCAACGGCGTCGACCCCACGCAGCGCATCGCCGCGAAAAAGTCCACCAAGCGGCAGAAAGGCGTTTCCGACTGGTCATCTACCACGACGTGATCCAACGACACTTGCCTGTGCACGATGTCCCGCGAGTGGCAGAAGGCCAGCGCTCCTGCTATCTGCGCGGTGCAATCCACAGCATCCTGCAAGTCGAGGCGGTACCCTGGCTGGTTCAGGAGGTACTGGTTCAGATTCTTCTTGCCCGCAACTTGGAGAGCCAAATACACCCGCGAGAAGCTATGGAGCACGCAGATGCACTGGACGATGTGCGGGTGTCGGAGCTCGTCCCTCAGGAAAAGCAATTCGCGATTAATGTTCTCCACGTCCCAAGCAGTTACATAGTCTGCCTTGTCATAGACCTTGAGGGCGACTTCCTCAGTCTCGCTCCGACGCGCAAGGATCACGTTGCCACTCACTGTGCTCAGTCGGTGCATCAACAGGTAGTCGCCCACGCTGGTGGCCGTTTCCACAAGGTTGTGATTGATCGGGGGGAAAGCGTGCATCATAGCTGTCGGGAAGCTTTGCCACATCAGCTCGTGGTGGTACTCCAGCACAGCCTGCGCTTTCGCGTCCGCACCCTCGTCGACCATGCACTGTGCACGCTGGGCATTTTCTACGAGCCACGTCTCCGCTTGGTTGAGTTCTGCGCGCAGCCGATCTTGATCGTCGCTGGGGTCGAGAATCACCACGTCGGCACCCAGAGCGAGGAGCACGTCGTGCCGTGCCATGAGCACCTCAACGTACTCCTGGTTCATGCCGTCTGGGATCTCGAGCAGCTGCAGCAGGGCCACACAGAGGTCGCTGTTCGGCTCGATCTGCTTCAACAAACTCTGTATCATGCGCTTCTCGTACTTTGTTTCGAGTGTGCACGGCACCAGCAGGCTGGAGCATCCAGACACCAACGACGCGATCTCCCCTGCGTCCCAGTGGCCCGCGAGGGCAGCGCCCGGCGTCACGAGCCTGTCTGGCCTGTGCGGCGAGTCCCACGGCACCAGGGTCGCGAACGCAAAGCCCTCGGGGAGCTGCGAGGCCATGCGGGTAACGTAGGTCTCCACGATGCTTCGGCTGGACGCGGGCGGCAGCCGGCCCGCTCTGGTACCGCTCATAGCTCAGCGCCTGGCTTGCACTGCAAGATGGCGCAGTTCCACGCTGCACAGCGCAAGGCCTTGAGCCAGAGTCATCCAAGCGCCAAAATGGCTGGGAGATGTAGCCGGAATTGAGGCGAGAACACGATTCCTGAATCAACTGTGAACAAGACATCAAGCGAAACCAGCGCCGTACCGTGCCGGCCCATGCGGTCTTGGGTTTCCCGTCTCTCTGGAGGACTCTTCTGTGGTCCATGTCTACTTCTGCTTGACCCCTCCAGCGGAATTCTATGAAGGAACAATCTTGCGCACGGGCAGACGTAACATTCAAAGCCGTGTTGAAGGACAGTTGCCCCTGAAACGATGCAACTGTTGGAATTGGGTGCGCCGCGGGCATGTGCACACGAATGGCGCTCGTCTCACTCATTTGGGTGTCGTGGAAAGAAGAGATACTCCAAGCGCGTAGACTTACTTAGCAACGTTGCGTGAGTAGTGTAACGCAGATGTTCAGACGAATGGATATGCGTGATGTGCAACACAACAAGTGTGCTTACCCAAATCAGACGCGCCTCGCCTGCGACCTGTACGCGTCACACCAAGAACGCGAAGTCCAACGTAAGCATGAGGCCTCTTAGATGGAGTCGGAGTAGATGTGGTCGGAGGATCGCGTCGCATCGACAATACATCGGCGATGTATCGGCGATGCATCGGCGACGTAGGCGATCCATCGGCGACGCCGGCTTGGGGAAGCACGGGCTCCACATCGAGCCGCAACGTCGATGCATCGGCGATGCGGCGCGGTCCTCCGACCCCAACTTCTCCAACACCGTCTAGGAGGCCTGGACAGCATCGGTGCCACAAACGCACATGGCAGAGTGTACGCACACAACCGCATCAAGACGATAACTCGCGATGTAGACGAGGCCGTCGAACTGCATGAAGACGCGAGCCACTGCCGCGATGCTGTGGCGGAGGCGTTACTCCCCTCATCTCCCAGGAGCCATTTGGAGCGGGGAGGTGAACACCCAACAATGCGTCGGGAGAGGCTGGCCGAAGGCCGTCCGGCAGGCATCGCAGCATCAGTGGGGCTGGCAGAACTTCGCTCGTAGTGTCGACCCCGAAGAGACCTCTTGCAGGCATCCCATGGCCTGCTCACAGGAGATTGGCTATTTCCAGGCCGTCCTGTGGTGCTGAGCCCTTGCTTTTGGAAGGCAGCGCCCCGCGTCTTCCCGAAGGACCCACCGGCACACTGGGCATGGAAAACACGCGTCCGATCCCGCACGGCCCTCACACACTTCGTGGCCCCGTGGGGAGCTCCCTCCACCGAACCATCCCCCGTATACTCCTTCCTCTCCTCCTCGCAAACTTTGCTCTCCACTCGACCCTCTGCGCAGCTCGCAGGAACTCTGATAGATTCCCCCCCCCCAGCGCCTGTAAGCACGAGTGGAGGCCCGCTCTTTCTCAGCGCGGGCAGGGGAATCGACGCGAGCGCACGTCGATACCCCAAGACGAGGCGGAGGATGAGGCCGACGAATGACGAGTGCAATAGGGAACGGGGATGCTGATGATAAGGGGATGAGAGAGAGGGAGAGAGAGAGAGAGAGAGCAGAAGGACGACGAGAAGGAACAGCATAATATGCTGAGGACATACAATAAAGCAGGAGGGGACTGAGCAGCAGACGATAATGAGCATAAGGAGGAAGATAAATGGCAGCGTGAGAGAACTGATGCGAAGGGTAATAGCGATAAGCGTCAACAGGACGATGCGTAACCCTGTGCGGGCGAAAATAATACCCCGGGGATAATAAAGTTCGGGGGCCTGGCGGGTATAATCACAGATTTTCCTGGGGAAGGTGAAGTTGTGATGATGATGATGATGATGATGATGATGATGACGACGATGATCATGATGATGGTGATCCTGGGCGCTCGGCACGTTCGTGACTTGGGCAAACTGAACTGGTGAGAATCCCACAGCCCTGTCACACGCTTGTGACTGCGGAGGCTGATCTGGTGAGACCACCAGGGCCACGCTCAGCGTTTCTGATGCTGTTGCTACTCAACATGAGATGGTAGCAACTTCGATCCGCAACTTCCCCAGTGGATTACCAAGCTCGGCCGCCGCGCCCATCTCCACAACTAAATCCGATTGAACGGGGATAAAAAATAGAGGGGGTCAAGAGGGGGGGTAACTTTATTATCGCCCGCACTCGGTTATTCCGCTGCTGGTCGCCGGGGGTGCTGACTCCGTCGGTGTCCAGAGCGGTGACCCTGCCCCGCCGCGCCTTGGTAATCACGGGAGCCCTCCTTCTCCGCTCCTCGCTCCCCCTCCTCGTCCTCCTCCTCCACCTCCTCCTCCTCCTCCTCGCTCCTCCTCCTCCTCCTCCTCCTCCTCGCTCCTCCTCCTCCTCCTCCTCCTCCCCGTGCCCTGCCGCCTCTCTCCTCTGCCCCTCGGCCCCCTCCCCGTCCCCCTTTGAGGGTCGGCGGCGCCGGCCGCACGCCCTTCGCGCTACCCTCCTCCCACTCGTCCTCCCCCTCCCCTCGTTGACACTCGGGTCGGACGAAAGGGGGGGATAGCAAAGGGGGGGTTTGAGAATCGGCTCACGTAGCTGATTTTCCCGGCGCCTCCCGGCGCCGCAGGCGGCCATGCATCGAGGAATGGGCCCCTCGGTGAGGCCGAAACCGGCTGCATGCAGCAGACTTCGTACCCCCCCTTTCCCAGTCCCCCCCGTTCGCCCGGCCCGAGACACCGTTGTCTTCCTCCGCAGATTAGGGGGGCTCTTCGCCGTCGCTGGGGGGAAGCCAATGGCGAAGCTGTCGTCACTATCGAGGGCTGCTGGTGGGTCCAGCGGAGTGACGTAGTAGTGACGTAGTTGTCTTCCTCCGCCTCTGCCCCCTCCCCCCTCCCGCCTGCCCCTCCCGCCTGCCTCCCTGCTCTTCCCGCTCCCCCCTCTCCGCCTCCGCCCCCTCCCCGCCCCGTCCTCCCCGCCCCGTCCTCCCCGTCCGCCCCGTCCTCCCCGTCCCCCTCCCCGCCCCGTCCTCCCCGTCCGCCCCCTCCCCGCCCCGTCCTCCCCGCGCCCTGCCCGCCAGAGCTCCCCGGGCGAGGGGGGGCTCTCTTGTGCAGGGGCCCCAGGACACACCAAGGAATACACACAAGTAAAGCAATTCCCCATATTTTCCCGTACTTTCCCGCAGTTTCGCAAACGAAAGAATTCCCCATATTTTCCCGTATGTTCTGGGCTTCTGTCTTCCCCCCCACTTCCCACATCTTCCACCATTTTCTGGGAAATGCGCACAGATAAAAAGATGCCCCGTATTGTCCCATATTTTCTGGGCTTCTGTCTTCCCCCCCACTTCCCATATCTTCCCATATCTTCTGGGGAATCGACGATTCATTGTGTCTGTGTGTTTTTTCCCCTCCTCCTCCTCCTCCTCCTACTCCTCCTCCTCCTCCTCCTCCTCCTCCTCCTCCTCGCCGCTCCTCGCTCCTCCTCCTCCTCCTCCTCCTCCTCCTGATTTTGTCCCGTGGCAGGCCCGACGGAGTGAAGGTGCGGCCGCGTATGGGCTGTCTGGCGCGCTGCGGAGCGCACGGGCGAGAGGAGGCCCGTGGTGGCCCGGCACCTCTCCTCTGCCTCCGGACCTCTTGCGCGCCGCGGGCAGCCAGAGGAAGGGGCGCCGGAGAGGCAGGAGGGGGAGACGGACGAGAAGGAGAGGAGGGGGAACGAAAAAGGGGGCCAAGAGGAGAAAGAGGAGGAGGAGGAGGAGGAGGAGGAGGAGGAGGAGGAGGAGGAGGAGGAGGAAGAGGGGGAAGAGGGAGGGCAGCACCCGCAGGGACCTCATGCCGCCAGGAACCAGGGACCAGGAGGGGAAGAAGCAGGCGAACGGGAGAGCGGGAGAGGAGGAGCAAACGACGAAGACGGCGACGAGAGAGGGACAGGGAAGGAAGAGGGGAGCTGGTCAACACAGTGGGGCCAGACGCCATCCGCAAGCCTCGCCCCAACTTGCCTCGCGACGCCCTCGAGGTCTGGAGACGGGCACAGGGCCACCGCGGCGAAGCCAGAAGAAACAAAACGCCAGAATCATAAACTGTTGGCGTCTCGCGCGGAGTTCTTGGATCTGCGCTGGACCCCCCTCCCTGGAGCGCGGAGCGCGCCAGGGGCGCTGCCGGAGGCGCCGCCGTGGGGTCCCGGCGCGGATCCAAGAACTCCGCGCGGAGCGCCAAGAGTGCAGCATTTCTGTGGCGCTTCCTCTTCCTCTTCGAGAACTAGGGCGCGTCGTGGCCCTGCCCGCCCCGGCTGCCGCGATGCTTCTGATCCGGCCGGCGAGGGCCGCACGTCTTGTGATCCTGTGGACCCAGACCCCCGACGTCATGATCTTTTCATGACGTCGACCCCCAGCGGTCTGGACCCATTCCCCAGGACCGGTTCTTCGTCCTGAGCCGTTTTGTTGACGGTCCCGAGGGCCGGTGAGGGCCCCCCGAGGCCGCAAATCATGAAGAACCTCCCGTCGTGATGTTTTCATCACTCGAGGGGGTCTGGGCTCGCCGACGCACGCTGCGCGCTGCCGACAAGCCGCCGCCGCCCGACCGCCAAACCGAGGGGGAGGAGGAGGAGGAGGAGGAGGAGGAGGGGGAGGAGGAGGGGGAGGGGGAGGAGGAGGAGGAGGAGGAGGAGGAGGAGGAGGAGAGGAGGAGAACCTCCCGTCGTGATTTTTTCATGACTCGAGGGGGTCTGGGGATCCCGTGCAGGCCGCGCCGCGCCGCGCGCGCCGGCCGGCCCGAGGCCGTCTCTGCGACAGCCCCCGGGCCCTGGGCCGGCCCGGGCCCCACCGGGCGGCGCCCAGGGGGGAGGCACCGCTGGGGGGGGGGCCACCGCCGCCTCCTGGGAAGCTCGGGCCGGGCGACAGGGGGGGGATGGTCGTCCGTCGTCGTCGTCGTTGTTATCCGCCGTCGACCGTCGTCGTCCGTCGTCGTCGTTGTCGCCCGTCGTCGTCGTCCGTCGTCGTCGTCGTCGTCGTCGTCCGTCGTCCACCATCGTCATCGTCGTCGTCGTCCTTCATTGTCCGTCGTCGTCGTCGTTCCGCAAAGGGGGCG